CCACATGATAATCATGGCAACGCATTGGAGTTTTTGTTTGTCGTAATATAAATATCATTGAAATATCTAGCCGAAACGTTAAATCAAGCCACCCCAACGACGAATAAAAACTAATTTTAAATACAACTGGCAAGGACCAAAAACCCTGTTGAGTCGGAATAACCCGGCGGCATGAATGTGTCTAAATCTTTTTTTTTCAGTTTTACGCTCAAAAACTAATCACATGTTCTACTTTTGCAATGGTTAGCAGATAGTTTTTACCGATCTCGGTTAAAATTATTCTAATAAAAGAGTTCCTTCAGTCACATTATGCAATATCCAATCTAATTTTATGTGGAATGTTTAAATATGGAATTCTATAATAGTAATTATTACCTAAATTTTATGATTTAATATTCTGCAGAATTGTTTTGTACAGTTGTACTATATAGTATTCAACCTATCTGACTTATGTTAACAGTCTAATATTCTAACGATTGTCAAATATATGGTGGCTGTTAGCGGCCATTCAAATGAATCTAAATCGTCGCCTTGTGAAGAAGGCGACAAGTCGACAAGTCGACAAAATCAACCCGCCAACACGACAAAATAACCCGACGATCGTCGCCTTCATTTCGTCGTCTTGTCGGGTCAATTCTGTCGACTTATCGCCTTCGACTTATTCACAACCCGTCAGTCGACAAGTCGACAAAATACAATTATTTCGACTTGTCGATCGTCGCCTTCATTTCGTCGTCTTGTCGGGTCAATTCTGTCGACTTGGACTTATTCACAACCCGACAAGTCGACAGGTCGACAAAATACAATTATTTCGACTTGTCGTGCGGCGACTTGTCGCCTCGGAAGTCAAACTCGAGCTTGCGCATTTGCTGATTGGATAACTTGCATGCGCACAGATTAACTTCCGAGGCGACAAGTCGCCGCACGACAAGTCGGAATAATTGTATTTTGTCGACTTGTCGGGTTGTGAATAAGTTGACGCGACAAGTCGACAAGTCGACAGAATTGACCCGACAAGTCACGAAATGAAGGCGACGATCGTCGGGTTATTTGTCGTGTTGGCGGGTTGATTTCGTCGACTTGTCGCCTTCTTCATAAGGCGACGATTTCGATGACATTTGAATGGCCGCTAACAGCCACCATACAAATATATAAAATGCTATTATACATGCACATCTAAATATATGTCATGTAATATCGTGCAGTTTTTCTACCTGCCTTTATAAAACAAACCTACTATGCAATTGAAATATTAAAACGTTTTATACCTTTACTTACCTTTATTATGGTTTAGTATCATATTGAATTAATATATTTGACCGTGTTGGCCGTTGTTATAGTATTCCATTGAAATAGTTTGTACTATTATGTATTATTTACCTATTCGTCATCAATATGGAGATGATGCCGTTAAGTGTGTGGGTAAACTTAGTAAACTGGAAGGTAAATATGTTCGTCACTATTATATTACTTTGGGCTTAATAACGATATGAGAACACTTTGTCGTAACGGCGTGCTATATGTATAAACCAGTGATTCTGTTACATATACATTAGTATTCTGCATGTTTTTATAATATTTTATTCCATAGACATGGTTCATACTGTTATATTATGTAGTATTTTACCTACTTTTATATTATAGTATTCCACTGAAATAGTTTATATACTGACATTATGTAGCATTTTACGTACTTTCATATTATATATAGTATTCCATTGAAATCGTTTATATATTTGTATATAGTATTTTACCTACCTTTATGGCATAGAAATGTTCTAAACATACACATTATGCATTTCAATTTATAGTTATATCATATTTGTGGAAATGGTACAATAAGCTTATCCCTTTGAAACATACATATATGTGCTGTATTCTAGCGACATTTGGAAGTATCTATTAAAATGTCTTAAATGTACATGTATTTAGACTCATTCAGGATCCTCACAAGCCTATGTGGCGCCCAGGTCAAGAGTTTTAGTGACGCCCCCCCCCCCACACACACACACACATACATATGGTAACTACTTTGTTCAGTGTCTGGGCTCAGTTAACTTTTTATGATTAAAGAAATTTTAAAATGCAATTCTTTGTACTTTTAACATTTTATTAGGTCACCCCTCACCTCATGCACAGGATATAAAATATTTAATAAACAGACTTGCTAATTACATATTATGAAATAATTGGGAAAAAATAAAATCAGATCAAGAAAATCTATTGTATACATCATTTATAACAAAATAAAAAAGAAAAGATGTTATTTTTTAAAACATAATTAAAAATCGACCAGAAAAGAGAGAGGGGGAGGGTTTAACGTCCACTCGACACAAACTAGGTCATTTCGGGACGCCTGTCGGCCATCCAACCCCCCCGATCAGAAAGAAAATGCCTTAGATATTGAAACGCAGGGCAGTAACTAGTTTAGAGCAACGGGAGGGGGGGGGGAGTGTCCTCAGGGGTGCTATAAAATTGACGCACAATGTATATCTATTTTTTTTATGGTCGACAATTTTTTTCAAAGGGGCGAAACTTTTTGCAGTTAGGGGCCTGTTGAAACGTCTGGTGACATCAAAGTATTCATGTACTATTTTAAAGATGTGATAAGCTGTAGCCTGATTATCTATACCAACGAATTGATGAGAAAATGTTCAGAATCATCAAATCGATGTCTGCAGCTGCACGATGGATCCTCGATGGAGGCAAGGTGTCGATCGATGAAGGAACGGTAGAATAGAAGCATACTCAATAAAGTTACCTGACTTCAATTCGCGTTTATTTGAATATTTCTGCCAGCCACATGCATTCATTCAATCTATTTCGGGTCCCCCCCCCCCCCGGTTCGAATCTGAACAATGGGGTGGGAACAGGACCTGAAAAAATCGGAACACCTCAATATGGCCCTCTAAAGAGAAATCAAAGCGCCATTTTAAGTGGGGTTTTATTCGATCCTAATGCCCTTCAGAAAAACACATAAATGGGACATACACGTTAAAATTTATATATTGGCTAAAACGACTAAAATGATTAATCATCGCAAGTCTTTAGCATTCCGCGTAAATAGAAATTCTTTAAAAATATACGTGATGTACATGTAACATGGGATGGGTGCACAGACAAATTGAAAATCAAATGAGAGAGAGAGAGAGAGAGAGAGAGAGAGATTTTAACGCCCACTTGACACAACTAGGTCACTTCGGGACTAACACATGGTTCAATTTTATTTCAATAATTCGCTTGCGCGCAGGGGTCTTTAGCAGTGTCACGTACAACCGGGGAATCTAAATCACGCCAGTTAACTCAATGACAGAACTCGTGATACAGCGCGCACGTGCTAACCACTCGGCCATCCAACCCCCCATGAAGAAACGGGATTTATTTTACTGCAAGAGGGGCAAAGGCGTCACAAACTCACTTTAATGTACAAAATTACTAATCAGCTAATATCTTCATAATTTAATTAATTTTCCCCAGACTTTGTGGAAATACTAATCTAAACGCATACTTTCGTCTAAATGCTATACTTTCTACGATAAAAGGAAGCCACGATGGCTCATTGAGTAAGACGTTGGCTCGCTAACCTGGGGTCCTGTGTTCGATCCCTGTGTTGGCCTAGTAAGTTTATCAGATTTTCCGAGTACAAACAACCGGGGTGCCGTGTAGACATTGGTGTGCACGTAACAGATCCTTGACAGTTGGAATTCGATATAAGAGTAGGTCGAAAGCTACCCGACCCCCTCGCCGAATTGCTTGTCTCTAGGGTCGTAGCCAGCTGTCGCGTGTCCTGCGCAAAACCCAGTGTAGGATTCAGGATGATGATGTGGGTTATAGAATGATTTTACTGCCCTATCATGATAACTAATAAGATGAAACGGCGGTCAACATTGAGAATAACACCTTACGCATTTCATTGGATCTTACTTAAAAATAAACAAATACTGTATATATGTAATTATATTTCATCAATGTTAAACAGACATTTGATAATTTCTAAATTCTCCAAAATGAAAACTTTTCTCAATTAACCCGATTATAGCTAGTTACACAGAAAAGAGAGGTGAAATAGATCAGTTCAAGAATAGATTATTTCTACGTACAATAAATTAATAATATAGATTTATGAGATATATCCTGCCTATTTTATACAGTTTACATGTATATTGTATTGAAGAATAACATTTTCTTTTTAAAATGTTGGAGGGTTATTATAATCATCGTATAAAGGTTTTTTTTCAAAGCTCTTATTAGTACAATTTAATAGTTTTCCTGGTGTCTTTTGGGATTTGACAACATTATTTTAGTTTCGATTAAAAGGACATCTGAGAAACAAGAGTGATTAAACCTGCTACAGTTGAATATCATGTAACGCTTTTGTCACTTCATATTTTTGTTTATATAAAGAATAGCTCTAGCTTTGAGTTGAGGACAGTGTCAATCAGAATGACTTTTGGTCCTCTAAAGTCAGGATGTGTCCCGAATGTCAAGATTCTTTTTTATATACTTGCTGGAGTTTTTAGATTGCTTGAAATGTATCGAAGGCTTACCACAAACATATCTCTTTTAGCATTTACTAGTAATATATGTTCATTTGACCCAGAGTAGTAATACATCGACAGTTGGTGATATCACGTCGATGGAAGCGGACGCTAAATAAACATTTCTGATAACTAAACCGTCGCCCAGTAGGCCTATAAGCAGTAGGCCTAATTGTAACTGTGTACGTTAGATCATCAGGCCTGTCATTGAGTCAAGTGGCGTGGTTTCGAATCCCCGTATAATGTGTAGGGCCGCCTGTCCAACCTGTAAACTATCGAGCCAACGAACGACGACGTGTGATGTGGCATCACAGACGTGAGCTTATGAAGGTCAGTCATCTTAGACAGGGTTATAAGAAGGCTTTCGCAATACCGCTATGAAGCAGATGTAACAGAAAGTGGGCTTATTCCAGGGATATTCAAAGAGTTATCTCCCTATAATTAGCTCTTCAAAGTTTAAATCACGAAAGTTACTGTAAACTTTTTCTCATGTCTTGAAATGTTTAAAAAAGATCTAATATGTACAAATATTTGAAAGAAAAAAAGGGTAAACACAGACAAAATTGAACACCCTGTAAGTAGAAGATGTGAGGAAAGCTTTCTTGCAAAGTTTTCTGCATATCAATTTTAGGGAAATACAAAATTTGGATTTTCTTAGCGTGTTGTTAGAACAGCGAGAAAATAAATATACAACATGGCGGCAAAGGCAAAAGTGAAACGGAAAATAGAATAATTTTTTGAAATTGTAACCTGAAAGAATATTTATGTCAGGTATTGAATTTTAGGGTGGGTAGAATTGATTATGCTTTTGTACAAGGCTGTAGCCGGTTTAAAGATAGGTTCCCAGAAAAATATTTTAATTTATTGATTGGCCGATTGGGGCGGTTGGGTGGTTATTTCCAATAAAAGTATGTCAATTTTGGTATGGAAAGTAGAGATATCCAATCTTACTAGAAAAATACTGGATTCCCTGAAAAACACTCATGGAGCGTATACAGGACAAAAATGTCAGGGTTCCCCTAATTGACAGCCCGGGATTAGGAATATCTGCATGTGTGACTTCAAAGGTTGCACAGGGAGATTGAGCACTTGATGTACATGTTGACAAACTTTATGAAGAGTTAGATGTACAACACTTTCTGAGATAAAAATCACGGAAAAAGACGCGGGCAGTGGATAATCCGAGAATTTAATTAGGATTAGATATTTGTTATAAATTGTCAGCGATTAAAGACAAAATCGTTTTGTGTATGCAATGAATTCTCCTCCGATTTCGCACCTGTAAGTCACGTGACACAAACATGACTTCTTTTGATCAATTTTTTCATAGCAAGGGTATTTCTTGACAATTACAATGTTTTGAGAAGGATTTGAAGCAAATTTATGATAAATTAATTAGTTTGAATATGTTTTTAGGCCAAATATATCATCAAATGTATCTTTAAATAAAAGTAGCTACCACAAGAAAATTCACTATAGGGCTACTAAGTAAGAAGGGAGATCTTGACTAGTGGGTAAAAAATATTATATAATTTCGTTTTTGGTGATTTAACTGTACAATCACATCTGAATGTTCAAATCAGACAAATCTGACGTTGTGGACGTAATTTTCAATGCTTACCATTGTTTTACTTTTGTATGCTTATTGCATTAATTTTACATTTTGTAAATTGTATATGTCTCTTTTTTGGTGCTGTCGACTTTTGTATTATAGTTTTATCAAGTTTATATAATACCCATTGTCCATCCTTCTCCTTTTATTTGTTGAGCTATCATTTTTTGCATTATTAATAATTATACTTCTCATGAAAGGCAGGATGGTAGAAAGGCTTCTGCAGCCTAATCCTTTACCATTCTCAAATAAAGTAATTATTATTATATACATGTACATGTACGTTGGCCTAGGCTTATGATAGACCACGGCTGTTACAGTAGCACTTGGTTTTCAAGGACTTTCTTCTGAATTTATTTTTTCTACATGTACGTGTATTTAAATATGTCACACAGAGATTTATCCATAAAAATAAGCTTTCTCTGTCAAAATAAAGTATTTAATTGAATTGATCTGATGTGTAGTTTTGATAAGTGGTTGGGGGAACTTGATTTGATATCACCTACCATTTCCTACCACATCTCAAGAACCTTGTGTACATGGAATTTACTGAAATGAAATGTGACATAATTTACTCCCGAAAGTGCCTTTGATACATTATAATTTAAGTTGAGCTGATCAGATTGCTACATTGTACTTTATGAGGTAAAGGAGGCAAGTCTTTAACACAATCACAATGTCATCTACAGTCTTTGACATTGCAAACAAGTCTTATTGGTCAATCTAGGTCAACATTGATGTTGTTATCTTACCGTGAAAAGATGAACTTTTGAAATCCAATATTTAAGACGAAATGAAAATTTTAAAATTGGCACACAAATTTCATGCCAGAATGCTTTGAGTTTGAGTGCCATTTGTAATGAAGCGACCAGATGAACAAGGCTAAACATACCCCATAGGGGAAAATACTACCGGACTGGTGTAGACTGGAATAACCATCCGAACATATCTGATTAGAAATTACAGTAAAAACAGAAACAGTTGAATATAAATCAGTTGATATACATTCGTATTACATTATTACAGTAGAATCTGTACGAGCAGCCACTCCTAATCACCGACATATCCTTTTAAGCGGTCACAATAAATCCCCCCCCATAGAAATACTTCTGTTTCATCCCTTTAACCCCTTAACTGCGTAGGACGTTATATAACGTCCTGGACAACTGCCACTCACCGTGTGTAGGACGTAATATAACGCCTTGGAGGTATTTTCCCCAACCTATTCTTCGAACACAATCTTACCATGCGGAAGACATATTATTACGCCTGTTCAAGGAATCTAATTGAAGGGAGACAACTCTATTTACTGTTAGTTTTATTTTGGTTTAAGACCACTCAAATTGTATTCAGGAAAAAATAGGCCCAAATATGACGTTTTCCGTCAAATTAATTATGCAATAGGAGGTAGTTAACGTCAAATTAATTACACAGTTAAGGGTTTAATCAACATTCACTCCTCTAACACGGCCAGCGGTCTCTATTTTACTAATAAATTTAACAAAACATCGATAAAATAAAATTAATTCATGGATTTTCTTCACTAAAATGGATAAATATTATCGAATAGATCACAATGGTAGACAGTAGTATCAATGTTGGTACAAAATATCAGAGATTTGAGTCAAAGAATTTTCGTTTCAAGCAAGTTTCAACGACAACCAAATTTACCGATGCAAGTATAGTATTGATGTTTGCTCCCAATGCATTCAAGCGTAAAATTTACTTGATGTCAACACTAACAAACACTGAGATTTTATTAAGAGGTCACTCCTGTTAGGTGGTCAGTCATGAAAATTCCCTTAAGTGGCTGCTTAATACAGTCTACTTTATATGTGTTGTGACCCATTTGTGTCCATTTTTAGGTGCCAAAGAATAGGGATGTAGCTCCTTTAAATGGTCCTGTTCATGTATGATAATCATACAATGACTATTCCAAAGGTGGTGGTAATAGCCAGAATATGAAGAAGATTGTATTTAAATTAGTCATGTGATGTTTACGAGTTATTGGCCTTCTTTTATAATTGGACTGCTCAGATAGTTTTGCTCCTGTGGACTATGTTTTATTAATTGGTAACCTATTTCTCCTTTCAGAAAAAGAAACAAAACACCCTGTATTGTATATTATTAAATATAGTGCTAAATCAAAATGTCAGAAGAAAAATTAAAGAGGATGAAATCCCTCATCAGGGCAGTGCTTATGAGTAGTAAAGAAGGTGTCGCTGCTGCCAGATTACTTGGTAATCAAAGATATATTTCTAGACAAGATCCTATATAGATTGGAATACTATACATATGTATAGTTTAAAATATTCTGGTTGCTCTATTACTATTAGCTACTGTTATCTAATTGATTTGAAAACTTGTTCATGTTAGCACTAGATGGAAACCTATCAAATTAACGTTTACACTGTTCTCTCTATATATCTAGGTGACTACAGTGAATTTGCAGGTGAATATTTACCCTTTAAAGAAATGGGTTTTCCAAATGTGACAAAATTTATAGAAAGTATCCCTGATGTTGCCAGAGTACGCACAGATATGACAGGAGAACAGAGATTTTACGCTGTGGCTGATGAATCCACCGAACATATCCAAAAAATGGTATCAAAACAGAAAACAGCATCAAAAAAGAGAAAGAAATTACCAAGAGTAAGCTTGTTAAATCGCATGTTTTATTCCTGGGAAGAATTGAACATCTCTGTATGTATATACAGTGGACTCTGTCATATCTGACCTCTGAATACTCCGGCACTCTGTGAAATCCGACATCATTTTCATGTACTGATTTATTTCCTTATTATTTCAACCCAAAAACTCTTTTAGTAATCCATCCTCTGAAAATTCCGAATTAGATGTATCCGATTGAGTTTAAATTTATACACAGTGTTTAAGGTCATGAGACAAAGAATCCTATTGATTTTCAGTGAATTACGATAATTACTGCCAGAGTTATGGCCCTTGATCACAACAAAATATATATCTTATGGATGCTCTTAGAGGACAAAGTTAAAGATACATTATGGGAGATAAGATAAAGAGATGGCAGTTCTCGCTATAATAGTTAAAAACAAGATAGTGTAAAGGTAATTTGCTGAAAATTTCAGTCAAATTGATCCACTATGAGCCGAGAAAGAAGCGGGTGAAATTTTTGCATAGTCTCGGTCATCATTACTAAAATCATTAATATAAACAGCATAGTCTCGATTATACACTTTTTCTGATTTAATTATCAACGGCCGTTAGCGGCATATAAGAATGTAATCCAGCCAACATCGAAGGCTAGCCTTGACATCGAGAGTTTATTATGGTCTGGATAAGTTAATTAATGTCTAATTGATAATTTAGATAACATTTCAGGCCTAAAGAAAGACATGTAATAAGCAGATTTTGCTCTTGCATAATGCATGATTAATATACGATTGACTTTAAATTTATACAGTGTTTAAGGTCTTGAGAAAAACAAGTATATTGATTTTCAATGAATTTTGATAACTTTAACAGCTAAATCAATGATATTAAATGTTTCGTATACTAACCTTTAGCATGGGGCAGAACTTCATAAAAACCAAACAAATTCTAATGATTTTCTTATAATTACTTCATGAGTTGTTACTCTTAAACAGATTTTAGTGTATTATAAATATTTCATCACCGAAAGAAAGTAAAAATATGGACAAGTCTTGTTGACTGCCCGGAAGATTTAGCTGCTGTGGGCGTATGTTTCGTTGCCTGGCAACCTATCTTTAAAGTCGTCTTAATTCTTTGGCTCACTATCCAGGAGGACCCTATTTTGTTCCTGGTGTTGACCAGAAACTCATTCAGTATTTTCCAGCCTGACAATTGAAAGCATCAAGTCGTTTGGATGAGACAAAAAAATTAGGTCCGCCCCATGTACTCATTGGCAGGAGGAATTTGATGAAGAGATAAGGGAAACACCATTTCATTCAGAACATGCTGCTTGGTGCTGAAAAAAATGTGGATGCTAAACCCCTATATTTGTTCATTTCTGTCTCCCCCCCCCCCCCCCCGATATATATATAAAGACCATGCTTATGCCATTACTTGCTATTTGTTTTTGTTTTAGGGTCCACACAGAAGACCAGTTCATCCAGTAGGACCTGGAAGACCATCAGGTCCTTCACGGCCATCGAGGCGACCAAGATATCCTGGTGCGGGTTATGGGAGACCAGCATATAGACCCCCCCTGTTACCCACACCTCACTCTAACAGATTTAGAGATCCTGCTTCTGTGAATATAAATAACTCATCCTACTCGAACTTTAGGCCAGGGTTTGGCAGCAAACCCAATGATGATGCGTTTAAAAATTATAAAATAACTGTAGGAAATCGTGGTGGCGATAGGGCAGTGAATTCTTCACAGAAAATGTTTTTTCAAGCTGTGGGGGATGCTTCCGACGCCAGAAGAAAAAATCCAAGTGCGGTAATTATAATAGAAAAACATATTTTCTGTGGCTTTTTGCTGTCTATAAAAGTGTATGTTTCTCAAGCATGTGTCTTTTGCTAAATTCATAGTAGGTAGACATAAACTTTTTTTTATGGGGGAATATTTTGAGTATTTGTTCCAAATATATTTTGGTCACCTCAATTCGATATTTAAACTATATCGAGTTAGTTATTCAAATTGATTAATTTTAGCTTGAAAAAGCCTTAGACCTCTTTGATTGAGGTCAAAAATAATGAATTGAAATAGGATAATAATGAATGAGACAAGCACTATGCAATAGGGTTTTTATAAGAAACAACCACCATCAACATTATTTTTGTCTTAAATCAAAGAGGTCTAATCATTTCAAGTTAGTATGTTAGTACTCGTGCTTAATATGAATTACAAGTAAACTTTGCAGACTTCAGTATAGTCTCCCTTCTCATGCATGGGTGAAAATTGAAAGGAAATTAACTGCATGTTCTGATTCAGGTACATACTGATGTTAAATTTGGACATAATTATGAAGTTCCTCCTCGATTTCAGAAAAAAGAATCCAGATCAAAACCAGTTGCAGGTAAAGTACATCTATTTCATTGGTTAAAATGCTTGTCGGATGACTAAGGATAAGTCACAACTTTTATTATTGGCTATTGTTTTGTTATGAATTAGTGCTCACAACAAATACTGAATATACTATTCAAATAGTACTAGTCAAAGTCATTGTACAAATGAGTTCGAATAATCCTTTTTGGATGTTTTTTTTTTTAGGTATTTTCTAGAATTTTTGAAAATTTCCAATCAATATGTTTTTCATATCTGTTTACTTTTGAATATACATGATTTCATTGAATTAAATGCTAAATATTTCCTATGGGAGATATACAAATGATTAATTGACATCACATACCAAATAACTGGTTCGATTAGCATTGAAATAATGTTTTAATTCAAATATTTGTGTGAGTACTATTATTAATGCCATGTGACTAGATAAGGCACAACTTCTATGATTGGTTCCTGTTTATTACAATCTGATTAAAACATAGATCCTATTTCGTTTCATTTTTTATAGTTCAAAATTTCGTTTTATTTGTCTTTAATACACTAGGATCTGGAAAAGTTGTTATATAACCCGCATTCTGGTTGATGTGATGGATTAGCAAATGAAATGGTCTGTTGAGGCGAGTTCTTGGCATGTGGTGTACGGAACTGTGGGTATTCTACTACGCTGATTAGTAGACTGGATAACCTGCTCTAAATGACGTCAGGCTGGTTCCTACGTCACTGCGCTATTCTGACTTCAATATAGAGACAGGTAGCGGGCAGCCATCTTGCAAGGAGGAATTCCTCCCGGCAGTGCACATCTCTTTCTGCGCACATTATCAATGAACAAAAACATGACCGGACGCTGAAGTGTGCAATAAAGATGTCAACATCAATTAAATGCAGCCGTAGTTTATGTTTAGCTTAAGGATTAGAGCCGAAACTATGCAATTTTTTCTCAATAATGTAATTTAACGGAACAATAATTAATATTTTGGAATTTGAGAAATACGGCAATAAATTAAATGAAATATAATGAGTGATTTGCCATAGCCGGTAGGCCTACGATTGTATCTGATTATAAGAGCTGATTTTAAACTGTCAGTTTGTTTGGGTTTAAGATAACAATAAGATGTCGCACAGTCAACGTTTAATTTGGCTAGAGCAATCTTAGACATTAAATAAAAGCTTACTCATTTTAACACTGAACGCCATCATTAAGGATACTCGTCCATTTTTAGTAACACTACGTCAAAACATGGCTGCCCACTACCTGTTTCTATATGCAAGTCAGAAAAGGGGTGACGTAGAAGCGAGTCTGACGTATTAGAGCAGGTTATCCAGTCTACGCTGATCTTCACGTAGTGGAGGCCATTGGAAATATAAAAAATTGAAACGAAATATATATTGAATGCCATATGACCAAGATGAGTCTCAGCTTATATGATTTATTTAACTGCCTTGAATTTTATGTGACGATTGCTTAATATTAACAATTTAGTTATTTATTGTTTCTCCATGTTTCTTTGTACCTTAGAAATATTGGTCAGATATATCTAAATTTGATGTGTTAATTTTACTATTATTATTGATAGTCAACCAGACCATTTCGCTAACCTGCAACATCTAAATATATGAAAATTCAGTCGTAGAAATACAGCTCTTTGCAACTGCAAAAACTAGGTTAACGCCTGTTGTAGTCACCACAATCCAGGCCATATGATGCTTTAACAACAATTGACCAATATTTCGAGGTATATAACAAAGACATACGAGACAATTCATATATTTCTAAACTCATCAATACAAGGAAATGTTGATTGAGTATTCTTCATTTAATTTTTTTATTAACATGATCTCTTCAACTAGAATGGAAGTTTCTTTTCACAGCACTGCTCCATTTGAATGCTTTTAACTGGCTATGAGCTACCAAATCAATTAAATATTTTCATACCATATTTTGCTATTGCTCTTGTTAATCCATAAGATATTGCTCATTTTTTGTCTTTAATTGTCTCTTATTGAGTTCTATTGCTACTTTAAGTTTATTTCTTCTTTGCGGTGGGGACAGAGTGGCTGTTTGCTGTAGATCATAAGGTCTGTTGTCTATATGCGAGTCATGGATTGATTCCTGGTTTTCTCCCGCTTCTAAAAGATCCATTGTTAAAGAATTATGTTGTATATTAGTCCCAAGGGCCAAATTAAGCAATTTTTGTCATACATATTGTTTTGTGCTTTTCAAGGACTTGCACGAAAACTAAAGTAAAATGCATTACCGTGAATACATGTAAGTCAGTGATGGACTTTTCATGATTAAAACAAAATGAAATATTATTTTGAGATTTTTTTGAGAATGGGGAATCAGTAAATACCCTCTAAGTCTAAAAAAGACTTTTGTTTGATGTTTCCTGGACATAACCACTTCCTCCCAGTGCTTCCAGACATCCATGCACCAAGAAATAAAAGAATTTATAGGTGACGAGATCATGGTAATATTTTTTGTTAAAGGGTTGGTATGAGTAGAACTGCATTTTTATGTTTGGAAAATATATATTCTAATGACAATCACCATTCACAAAACAAAATTTTTCATTTTATTCACTAATTAATTAATGGAAATTCAGGTTGGCTACAAATCTATTAAAAACACTCTGAAATAATCATAAGAAGGAAGAAAAGTGATTATTCCTCACCATAATTCACAGTAATTCTAGAATATAATTAACTAAAGCATAATTTCCTACTCATACTATCTCTTTGGAGTTTTATTTTTAGTTTTTATTTAAAAAGAAATTGTATTTTATTCAGTAGTGTCCCCTAGTACAGTTGAATTATGGGATTCCCCCGAGAGTACGGCACAAGATGCAACACATAATAAGGTGATCAAATGTAAGAAACAAATCCCTTCTTTTTAGTATAATACAGGGAAGTAGACTCATTGTGGGGCATCCGCAAACCTGCATGAATCCTGAAATCCTTGAAATTAGAATCAGTTGAATTTCTGCATTTTTAATGCTGCTCTCAGTGGACATGGGTTGATGCATCCCAAACTTAGGCTGTCTGTCTACAGCTAGCTCCGCCTGAAAACAGGCCCTAAGCTAATTAACCGACATTTTAATTCCTACATCGACGATTTTAGTCGAACACACTGAGTATGCTTTTAGTAATTTTTAAAAGTATTTTTTTCTCTTCTATTGTCATATTGAATGAAATTAAATATGTTTATTTAGCCGCTGTGTGTATGAAAGATGTCAAACTAATCAAAGCCGAATCACAAAATAGTCCTCTAATTATTCAATATGGCGGCACCCATGAAACATAATTTCACAGAGGCCGTGTTTGTTATGAAGACAAATTGAGGAGTATCTAACTTTGTTTTGAAAGATAAACAGATTGAAACTCTAAAGACAGTTTACAATGGCAAAGAATGTATTGTAATATTACCCACTAGCACATATTATATACCGCTTTTAACGTAGTGGCAGAAGTTGACAATTTGCCAATGACACATGTTTACATAATACATGTGCTTCATCAAGTTATTTTTACTCTGTTGTGTACACAAAGCGGTAGTCCTGTCGATAAGTCCCACCCCAAAATGATCACGTGAGCGTTTTAAATGGAGTCTGTTTGGGGCAGTGATCATAATCTCGAAGTATGACGTAGAAGGATCGCTGCGTGCAGTTTGGGGTTGAAACAGCTCCCATTTGCTTATTTCTATTTTTAATGCTTTGAAGTTTTTGGTGTCATTGTCGGCTCTGTCTCAAAAACAAGAAAATGGTGATATTTATTTTTGTGGATACTATCTTTACTAGACTTTACTATCTTGTACGTGACAAGGAGTACGTCCGCCTGTCAAACCTCATGAGTTTTCTCTGGGTTCTCTGGATACCCCTGACTTCTAAATACCCCTTATAGAAATAAAACTGTACCATATGTTAGTGCCAGAATGACCCAATAGATGTAAAAACCTCATTTGTCTTTTTGTCTTTCTAGATCAGGTCAGAAAGTAATGATTTTAGTTTTACCTAATTAAAATTAAACCATATTGTCACATTTTTTTGCTTTTAATTTTATATCATTTTAATTACTGCTACAGCAGACCAACAATATATCTCACATCGGAATGAGCTTATATACAATGTATGTTCAAGATTACACTTGATCCCCAGACATAACCATATATGCTGCATGTACAATACAAGCATGAGAGTGGTGGACTGGTTCTCATATCGTGCGAGTTACATTATACATTGATCGAAATAATTCATCATTTCACAGATTTAACCCTAAACTCTCCCTGCATATGAACAGAACCTTGTATATTACATGTATTAAATTACCGTACTTTTCATTTTATCAATTATATTTTATTATATCAATTACATTTAATTGTATTAGTTTCAATTTATCAATTATATTTATTACGTTGTATTAGTTCATATTTATTACATTAAATTTGATTAACTAATATCATTTTTATTACATTTAATTTTATTAATTACATTACTTACATCACATTGTGTTATTTACATTTTATTATTACATTGTATTACATTACATACTATTAAAGGGTCAGATGAACACGTCTTTGAGTATTTAGAGTTATTAGAAGAATATTCTCATACACATGATGTTGAGGTCAAATTTACCACAAAGTTGGTAGTTATTGGTGGAGTAAAAGGGTATCTGGGATTGATTCATATTCATGATAAAGCTGTCGGCAGTATAGGTAAAGTATATATCTGTATAACAAAAAATTACCGAATTATATAATAAGAAAGAAAAGAGTTACGAATTTAGTAGTTTGAATAAGATATGTTTGATGCTGGCTGGGTTGGTTAGTTGTGTTGTCTTAAATCATCAAGTCTGGCATTAAGTCAAGTGGCTTGGTTTCAATAGCAAGCTTGTACTTGGTTTTGTACAGGTCTTCCAGTTTCCTCTCTCACTGCTATAGACCCCATACGCATATGTGCATTATTGAAATTAAATTGTACATGTTAGTTCCAAAATGACCTAGTTTGTGTCAAGTGGACTTTAAACCCCATCTCTGTTATGTGTTTGATGGTACTGACTTCTAAACTCGAAAATATGTAGCGTATCAACCTTTATTTTACCTGAGATAAACCTTTGAACATTGTGCATAAAATATATTTTAGTTAGAATAAAAGTGTTACAAAAAAGGTACATATTTACATTGAATGAATTGAGGTAAGCAATTTTGTTGTTTATGGTATTACGAGAGGGTGGGTGCCCATTGTCATTTATAAAAAAAGGTAAAGCAGTTAGTGTGTTAAATGCGATAGGCAAGAGATTAAAGAAACCTCAATTGACGTGTAACATACTAATCATACCATCAATATTATATGACTATATCCTATCAGAGATGGATGAATTATATCAGGACTAAAGTTTCGAATAACCCTGATTTTGTGAGGTTTTATAAGATTCTATTCTAATTTCGTCTGTTTTTCATGTGAATATTTTATAGAAGTGTTTGAAACAGAGTTATTAGCTAAAGAAGAAGCTGCTAAAAATGTTTGCAAACAGTTTGACATAACAGAAAGTAAGTGAGCTATATACATCTCGGACCCAATGTCTTGTAATCTGTCGACATTTTCCTGCAAACACTACACAAGATCATTTGAGCATAAGCTATAACTAGTCGATATTGATGACATTTTCATGTGATTCCTATTAACTTTAATACTCATAAATCTCATGAAAATTTGGTTGTAAATTTTTGTTTATTTTGGTATAATTAAAGACCTATCAAAATTGTGAATATTTCAATCTCATATTGCAGAGTTATCTCCCCATATACAATGTACCTTTATACAGGTGAAATCTTTTGGACCATGATATTAATTATAAAGAACTACTGGTATTAAAATTGAGAATATTTCAGTCTGAGTCTCAATTATCTCACCCATTAACATGTGAGAAGATGATACAAGAGGGATTAATTCTTGTTTGGATTTTTTTTTAATCTTAAAGGATTGTTCATTTGGGCATTACAAATACTCTCTTGATATTCACAAATTTCAAATGCATATTATGAAGAGATTCTTTGTTAAAATAAAAAGAATCGGTGGAACCTGGCATAGGGAAGATCCATATCAAATTTTTTAATCGCAAAGTCTATCTAAAATGTATGTGTTTCTTATTTGCTATAAAAATTCATAGAATTGAATAATTTAACAATGTGATGATTTAATTATTTGTTATATTGAGTACAGATATTGTATTTTTTTTATCATTATTTTTATTTCAGGTAATTTATATCAAAAGAAACCGGGTTTGTCATTACCCTCAGCAGAAACAAGCATCACAGTACCAGGAAATATTAAAGATAATATTAAAAAGGTAATCCAGGAGCCTTGTCCATTAAGCTGAAACTATCCGAAAATAGAAATATGGTTGCATACTGTTGTCAGTCGGTCGGTCGGTCATCAGTGGGGGAGGGGAGGCGTGACGTTAGGTGATCAAATGGTCTGATGGATGCACTTTAAGTCAAAAGGTCTGTCATTGAGTCAAGTGGCAAGGAATCGAGCTCACACTTGACGAGGAGTAGGGTTGCCTGCCCAACCTTGCTGGTTTTTTCTGAGTCTTCTGGTTTCCCCCAAGAGCTAAAGACCTGTACGCACAAGGGAATTATTGTAATAAAATTTTATACAGGTGTTAGTCCCAAAATGACATAGGTAGTGTCAAATTATTGTTAAGCTTCATATCAATTGAACATCATATAAACAAAGCATGACACTCGCTTCAACCCATATTCTCACATTAAAGAAATATTATTTTATTGTAGTTATTATCCACTGTAACAGTAAGTATGTGGTGCACGCGGTTTCCTGTTGTATATGCTGAAAAGTTTGGTGAAGCGCCTAATAATATTATAGAAATGGTGCGCTCGTGTCCTGACATAGCACGATTTGAAAAGTAAGTATAATATTGAAATATGTTTACTGTTGATCCTTATAGACAATCAAATTCAAAGCCAAATGAATTCATTGAAAAGTTCATTCAAATTGCTCCATTGCAAGCGAAGATATTAGCTTTTGATGGTTTGAAAAGATATGTGCATTAATTGCAACCACCGCACTGGTTGTTTGAAGCTTAGCCTCGCTTTACCATTTTTAGATTAAATCAAAATATGGCTGAACCATTCTAATTTACTTAATATCAGAGATATCCGATGACATTCAGAGTTGATTATAGTCTTGTCATGTTAATAAAAAATCTTAGTTAATAGTTTACATAACATTTCAGGCCTTAAGAAAGAACTGCATTAGGCAGAATTAGCTCTTGCATAATGTATGTTTAATAAAGCACTGGATTTGATCAAATCAGAATCCAAGATTTATTTATGAAATTATATCATCAAATAACCCAGTTTGTAGGCGGGAATGTATCTTTAACCTACTGAAAGAGATTTGTTGAAATTAAACATAGATCATTCATTCTTCCAATGTTTTATATTATTATTATTGTAGAGTACCAAACACAGATAGAGAGATGATATATCCTGTTAAACACACAGAAGACACTCCACCAGAACCTACACCAGTCCCCAAACCTTTACCAGTCCCCAACCCTTCACCAGTCATCTCATCAACCCCAATACAGCCAATTCCATCAACTCCTGCTGTAGATGTATTTAAGGTAAAAAAGGTGGACCAGAAAAAACACAATTCTAATTTTATATTATCTTAGTTATCTTTGCTGATCTCATTTAAGAGAGAAACAAGTTGAATATCCACTCAACACAAACTAGTGTTATTTTGATTTTTTTGAATTTTACAGGATGTTGTTATTCCTCCATCTGAATCAATAAATATAGGGTAAGTTAAAGTTGTTAATATTCCTAGAACATTAGGTAACACTTCTAATTGAGTATGGTGCTGGCAGGGAAAGATCCTCAATTTTCCAGCCTGGTTTTCCCTTGTTAGCGGTACATGACATGGCAAGAACAAGGATCTAACTTTTTGGATGGTACAAAACACTAAGATATCATGTACACATTGGTGTTCACTTAAAAGAACACTTGGCAGTTGGAATTCAACAAAGAGTAGGCGAAAATGCTAATGTTTGAGCGAAATTGTAAATCAGTGTACAAATGTTCTATTGTTGATGAAATAGGCAATGGAATCAATGTATCGTCATCAGTGACGCTGGTATGTTACATATGTTGGTTCCAACACAATCTGATTAAAAGACAGATCCTGTTTTGTTTCGTTTTACTTGTCTTGACTACACTAGGATCTGGAAGAGTTGTTATATAACTTATATGGTTGATGTGAAGGATTAGCCAACGGTCTCTTGCAGTACGGAACTGTGGGTATCCTACTAGAAACATTAACGCTGATTATTATATCAAATGTATGACGCCATAGGGTCAAAAGCCGCTCGTATGACCCCTGACGTGACCTCCCACTACCTACAACTCATGGAGTAGAGGCCATTAAAAGTATGAAAAAAAGAAACGAAGTATAGACCTGTATTTTAATCAGATTGGTCCCAACATGATCATTATTATATACATTGGAATGCACGTAAAAGATCTCTTGGCAGTTGGAATTCGATATAAGAGTAGGCGATAGTGCCGCTGCCCGGGCAAAATTTCCCTCATAGCACACTGTATGGCGTATGCCCGTCTTCATTAGCCCAGTATAGGAGCAGAACAGTAGGACGTTAAACCCCATTTCATTTCATTTCATTTCATATATTATAGATGTGAGGAAACAGTATTTGTAACATATGCTACATCATGTTATGAGTTTTACGTCCAGTTAGAATCAAGCTGTAGTGATGATATCAACGACGTCTTGCAAACAGAATGCAAGGTAAGTTTTATAGACAATTATTCCAACATGGTTTCCCTTGTCAGTGGTGCAGGACAGATGACCTTGCAAGGTAAACACAGTCCTTACCTAGGCCTCCATCTGGCACTACTGACAAGGGGAAACTGTTTAAAAAAATTGCAAAGAACTTTCTTGGCCAACACCCGAGAGTGAACCCAAAACCTCCCGTTTCGCGAACCAGCGTCTTACTGAGCCACCGTGGTTCCCTTAGCCAAAAGGACTTCAATGAATAGGTTTCTGACATCTTCTAATTTTGTACAATGGTTCATATTCATGACAAATATTTCTAAACATTACCACATTTGGTAGTACATATAACAACTTTATCGGCCAATCGCGTAACTAAGAGAATCAGCAAAGCTGACAAGTAAAGCATGCCTCGTCATTTGGAAGGCACGAAAAACTGAGGTCCACTCTTGGAAACATTGGTGTGCACATATCATTACTTTTGATACTTTGGAAAGCAATTATTGTGAAGGCCAAATTCTCCTACCTAGAAATAAAATTACAGTATTCTTTTCTAAAAATGATCGAAATAGTGTTGACATTAAACCCTATTCCATTCATAAACAATGGTAGCCTCATTACTAATATTGTTTGTTTTAGAGTTTAGCGAAGCCGAATGCCAGTAGTATAAAGAAAGGGATATATTGTTCAGCTTTATATAGTTCAGATAAACAGTGGTACCGAGCTCAAGTAATTTCAGATATAAATAATCAGGTGGGTCAACTGCTGTCATCAATAAACTACTTTACATTTCGAAAACTCTTAACTATTAATCACATCATCCTTTTCTCACAATATATACTAATACATTGACGAAGTTCAATAATGGGCATTTTTCGCTTAGTGGTCTCGACTTGTTGTATTTGTTCATAACATCAGTACCTTGACTAAGTTTGACAATGAGCAGTTTTTACTCAGGTTTAGCTGAGTGATAGATGCTTAAAAAAATATAAATGCGATTCAGGTGGAAGACATCCGCTTCACTGTTGGCATCAGGGGTCACATAATTTTTTGAACTTGATTAATCATATTAGATAAATCCAAGCAAATTGATTAGAAGAAGTCCATTTTTTGGGGGGGGAAAGTCTACCTGTTGAATTTACAATATTATGCAAAGATTTATTTCAGTCACACTATTATTATAAATATTTCAAGATTGCTCACTGCTGTTTATACTCTCATTGTATTGGAAATATAAGCTACTGCATGTAGCCCTCCTCCTATAAAGAGACCATGTATTACAAATATTGTTGAAATAGCCTTGGAGTAGATGTGATCATGTGAATGACAGACCATAAATAAAACATAACAAATTAGTAAGAGTGTATTAGTAGTTGCTTGTAATTTCTTTGAACGATGTTTCATTTCGAAAAATCTGTAAACCGATGCTTTACAATCGTAGGAAGCAGTTAGAAGGCCTGACTTTTTTATTCTTATTAGGCAACTAGCATATCGGTTGATAAGCTGAACCTTCAATCACTCTTACAACATTCATTATGGAGAAACATTTTTCAACAATTGCGTTAGAGAATGGAAAAACACAAACTATCTCTATACTTTTGCAAATTGATGTAAATCTATTATTATGCCAACAATATTTTAATACAGTTTTCCAAATTATGGGTTGGGTCCAGATTGGGCTTCCAATATGAGGCCGTGTTGACCAATACGGCTGTTCTGTACAGCTAGGGGAAATGTAGTGGAAAGTTTTACAAGAAAATGAAAACAACAGTAAAACTCCAGATACGGGAAAGATTTGATTAGCAAAATGCAATGCAAATCTGGTTATGGAGATACCTGGTTGGCATGTTATTTCTTGAGTAATGACCCTTGTTTCACTTTGTATAATGTTTTGAACGCTCTAAAAGAAAAGTAATCATCCAATCTGTATGGAATTAATATTCATTATTCAGTTTAGTGAAATGTGCTGTATGCATATGTTTTGTTATCTGGCAACCTATCTTTATTGTAGGAGTTTCATGTAAGGTTTGTTGATTATGGTAATGTAGAGTGTGTATCTATAGACTGTATCAGACAACTGCCACAAAAAGTTATCAACACGCCACAACAAGCTATATACTGTTCCTTATATGGCATACAACCAATTGTAAGTAGTAAAGATTCAAAGGCGACTGTTCTTTAAAAGCAGATATTTTTTAAATTTATCCTGGGCCCCGTTTCACAAAATTTTAACTAAGATAGAATCCAAATTTTAGTAGATACTTCAATTTTGATTGGCTAAGCACTAAAATCAATCTAATATTATCCAATCAAATTACTAATATTTGGATTGTATCTTTGTTAAAATTTCGTGAAACAGACCCCTGTTTAAACTTAAAATGACCAATATGTTATGTCTTGATTAATGCCATAATTTGTTTCTATGTGTAAGTTTTATTCTAGTAATAATGAATTCTACAACATATATATTAGATGTTTAACACATAACAAATATGGAATTATTTTTAAAAATAAACATTGTTTTCATTTAATTTTCATCATAAATAAACAAGTATAAAATGACAAAAATATGTTTCTTATTGTCAGGTCCAGTCTGTATAAGTTTTATTCTTTGAGGGAATTTCATTGTATCATTTTGTTTCCTCTCGACCATTCTTCTTCAAAATGAGTTTTAGACATAAGTAATAGACTTTAATTAGCATTATGTATATCTTGAAATGTTTTTATTCTAGGTTGGTGAAGAATGGAGTAAAGCATCGTTGGGTATTTTGGCAGAATTTGTGAGAGACCAAGAATTAATAGCTGTACCTTTTACACATTCAGCAGGTACATGTAACTGCTATAACCGTTTTGCAAGTTTGCATGGAATTAAAAGATTATTGTAGGCATTTACATTACAGTATACGAAATTGTTGTAAGCCCTGAAATTTCTTTTGTGTGAACTATTTTTATGTGTAGAAATATTCTGTATGGCTGGATATAACAGATTCATTTACTGTGTCTTACCAGGGGGAGGGGGGGGGATAGCCGAATGGTTAACATGTGTGCGTTGTATCATGAGGTCTGGCGTGGTTTCGCATCCTCAGTTGTACATGACAAGGAGTAGGGTCGTCTGACCAACCTCGTGGGTTTACTCTGGGTCATCCGGTTTCCTCCCACTGCTGAAGACCCCTACATGCAAGCAAATTATTGAAATAAAATTAGTCCCGAAATGACCTAGTTTGTGTTGAGTGGACGTTAAACTCCATTTCTCTCTCTATGTCTTACAATATTATTGTTTGTGAATTGTGTAGAATGTGTTCACTGGTGGTTTGAGACTACATTATGTTTAAGTCATCGGGTGAGCTGTATAACAAATAGCCAGACAATTGACTCATTTTGTCCCCCTTTTTCTCCACAGTTTTATCATTTAAAGACTTCTTCATGTTTGTCTAAAAATATGTTGAGTGAATATTAATCAGTAATCGTTCCCTTTTCCTACAACTGTATCACTGCAATCAACCTTGCCAGCACTGTATCTTAATTCCTTCCACACATCACTGTATTAAGGGGTAATTGCTTGCTGTCTTGGCAATATTACAATGTTTGATACTTTACGTTAAATTTTTTAGATGGTTATCAAGAGATAGAACTATATCAGAGACATGACAGGGAGAAATCATTAAATCAAATTTTAGTGGAGAAAAACGAAGCTGTCTGCATTTTGTCTCCCCAGGTGACACAGCCAGACTTTGAACGACGGCCTGATGAACCAGGTAAGTGCGCAAATTAAAATTAGATTGTGGTTGGTAAAGGGTCTGTGACAACATTTGTATAATGTGCACTGTAGATCATAAGGTCTAATATCTATGCAAGTTGTAGATTCGATCTCAGACTTCTTCTTGAGATGGTTCACTGAATCTGCACTGGGTTCCTGTGATCTAGACATCTGTTGTTTGGACTTGATTAAGTGATGGTCACTGCTAATAAACATTGCTTTCCAATATTCAAGAGACCAGAGGTTTGCTGCACAGTCATTTGGATTGGTGAAAAAAAACCCTGTACTCCCCCAGCCTTACTTTTTTCTCTGTTGATAATTATATTATTTGTATATATATTTGATAGAATTATTAGAGATACCTGATGATAAGTTTATGGATGTTTACGTATCGTTTTTTAACCCTGCTACTGGTATCATGGTACGCATTGTTGGTGAACAGTTCTCAGTAAGTATTATTTATATCTTATAATTTTTATATAAAAAAAATTGTTCATATTTTTTCCTGCCAACTGGAATATTTTATCTGCCAAAAATGTGTGATAAAGAAGACAACTAATTAATTAAAGAGAATTAGATTTCAGGCACTTTATTTTGCCAACTAGATGAAATAATATTTGTTTTTTTCACTTTACCTGTCTGACCCCCCGCCCCTGTCTCGTACGCCTATGGGAATATGTGAACTAGACTATAGACTTTTTTTTCAGGATAAGTTGGAAGAATTAGAAGCTCAGCTGGAAGCTTTTTATAAACTAGCACCATATGATCAAACCATAGAAGTTGGTATGGTGTGCGTCATTAGTCTAGATACGCTATATCATAGAGTTAAAGTTTTATCTATAGATGGTAATAAGGTGAGTTAGTGTAAGCTTACTCTTTCTTGAACACCTGATATCACTTCTGATTTAATGAGTTCATATAGCTAGCAAACTGTTTTATATCTATGTGAATTAGTTCAATGTAAAATCTCAAAGTGTTTTATGTATTTTATAGGCCGAGTGTTATTTCTTAGATCATGGTGATACAGAAAATATTTTAACTGAAGGTTTAAAACCTATAGATGCAGAAATCAATAAAACACTTCCATATCAGGTAATCAAATTATTGATTTATTCCTAGTATGTCTTTCTACTGACCCATTTCTTAGCAGTTGAAGAGGTTGCAATAGTTCTGTTGTAAGGACAAGCACTATTGTTTGAAACTCAAGATGTAAGAGCCGCCATCAGAATGACTTCCCGAAAATCCAGGGTGTATAGGACCTCCATCAACACAGATGCTCAGCACCTGTTTTCAAACAGCAGAGGTCAGATCCTCAAATCCTATGTATTGGTTCTCCATCAAAACCCTTGCTCCATAATATATCATTGTTACAAATCAGTCAAATTATTAATTGACTCAGATGACTTTCTTCAGTCAGATAACTGTCTGAAGGTCTTCTTCCGTTTGCAGCCTGGTGGTGGTCGGTTTATGATTTCTGGTCTTTCAAATGTCTGAAATTGCACAAAACAAGCCTGCAAATTGTTTTAGATACACAAACAAGAAACCTTGGACAGATACAATTTTGGTCTCAATGTTTTATGCTGTGGGGCAACGTTTTGTTGCCTGGCAACCTATCTTTTGAAATAAAAACAGATAGAGGTTTCTGAAAACCAGAGTATATTCTTGATATTGCCTATTTTATGAATGTTTTTTCAGGCGTTTAGTTTTGAATTGTATGGTTTAGAGAATGTTATGGGTGATGCTACATTATTAGAAAAGTTATATGAATTGGCGCTTGCTAAAATACTGGTAGCTGAGATTATATCAAGGTAAATAGAGATAAACAATATATTCAGATTGTTATACAACTAATTTTTATATGAAATGTGAGAATCTTCCAATAAATAAAAAAAAAGTTAACCCGAACCAATTACACACGGTTTGATTGAATCAATTTTGATGCATTTGATATTAAATTAAGTTCATATACAATACTAAATAGAATACAATATAAAACCATATAATGGGGTCACATCTTTTTTGTGAATACTCTATAGATTACATTTATCATCTGATTCTTTTAAAATTTATATATACGTTGTTTATATTATTGAGATGAAAATAAGTGGGTCAGAAACCAGATACATGTCACTGTATTGTGGGGTCTAGTTGTCTGTACTTATTTTATTTGGGTAACTAACAGATTGTTTTTGGTGTCTGCTTGAAATTTATATGCATTGTTTTGATTAGTGAATTGAAGAAGCCTATTGAATTTCTGTTAAATAATCTTGTATAATAATCGCTGATAGAGAATCGGTTTTAGACGAGTTATTTGCCCCTGAATTTGCTAATCTTTCATGAATACATGAATGTAATAAACTTAAAAGACATTATTTTTGAAAGATTTTCCATGTTACAAGCCCCTATGATAGTTATTATTGAATCTGAAATTTATATGCATTATTTATAGTAGTTGTTTCTAAATAGAAATGGTTTCACTGTGTTAGATTTAATTTGTACTTTCAGAGATGAGAAGATATCTGTGGTTCTCTACGATACACAAGAACAAGATGATATAAATATCAACGAATATATCGCAAAGGTTTTAATCTCTGAGGGCCATGCAATAGACTTAAATTTATTCACCGCTAACATCGGACCCAATACTCCTAGTGACTCTTTAAGCATTGCCAGTAATGAGGGTACAGAGTCACCAACAAGTTCCATACCCAAGACTGAAATTCCACAAAATGTTGTTGCTCCATTTGAAAATAAAACTGTCCCAGATGAATCGTTAATAGCGAATCTGAATTGTCTTTCGTTATCTCAAAATGCCGCAGATATTAGCCAATCGTCTGTGATAACAGCTAGTGCCAAATCAACCTCAAGTCTTTATACATGGGAGAAACCAGCTACTTCCACATCAACCAATGATGTTGTAGTTCAACCACCAGGATTGTCCTTGTCCAATGAACAACAAGCTGACTTAAAGATGCCGGAAAATGTAACAATTCCTGCTATTGGTGAAATGTTTGCTATTTATATCTTATGGATAGTGGACCCTTCTAATTTTGTGGTAGGTTTCAATTTTTTGGTTGGGGTTGTTGCACATTCCTCTGCAATAATGACATTCCAGGTTGTTTGTTTCCATAATATTATTGGACTGATCCTAATATTATAGACCAATATACCCAATTATTAGGCCAATATACCCAATTATTAGACCAATATACCCAAACTGATCACTTAAAGGGATGACATCTAGGCAAGTTAATTAGCTCTCAAAATTACCTTTTTTTCTTCTGCAAATTTTAAAACAAATTATTAATGAAAAAATTAAAGGTGTTTGTAGTATATCTTGATAAAACGTATTTCCTGTTTAGCTTAAATGGGTACATAAAATAGTACTTGGTGGCGTAAAATAAGTAAAAGGTGCCAATTCTGCTCAGACCAGTCTGTATTACTAACTTTGATGTAAACAATGCACTCTTTATCGACGTCATAGACCTATACTGCACCTGAACTAAAATCTCTGTGATCTTGCATAGAGTTAAAAGAAGGCTTTGCTTTCGCATTACTGCTGTGAAATGGAGTTAAAGATACATTCCCGGGTACAAACTGGGTGATTTGATGATATATTTGGACTAAAATTAAAAACATATTCAAACTAATAAATTTATCATAATTTTGCTTTAAATCCTTCTCAAAACATTGCAATTGTTGGGGAATACACTGGCTATAAAAAAAAATCGATCAAAAGACTTCATGATTGTGTCACGTGACTTACCTGTCTCAGTACCTAGCAACGCAAGTGAAGTCGGAGGAGAATTCATTGCATAAACAATCTGATGTTGTCTTTAATCGCTGACTATTTATTACAAATATCGAAGCCTAATTAAATTTTCGGATTATCCACTGCCCGCGTCTTTTTCCGTGATTTTTATCTCCGAAAATGTTGTACGTCTAATTCTTCATAAAGTTTATCAAAAGGTACATCAAGCGCTCAATCTCCGCATGCAACCTTGACGTCACGCGTGCAGACACTCCTAATTATCGGGCTGTCGATAGGGAAACCCTTACATTTTTGTCCTGTATGCGCTCCATGAGTTTTTTTTTCAGGGAATCCAGTATTTTTCTAGTAAGATTGCATATTTCTACTTTCCATATATACCAAAATTTCCACACTTTTATTAGAAATAACCACATGATAAATAATTTTCTGGGAATGTAGCTTTAAAAGAAGGCTTTCACATTACCACTGTGAAATAGAATACAGTATATATACCATATGGCAGGGGTTTCACTTTAAACTATGCGAACATTTCAGTTGTTAATAATCTGGTAATTGGTGTTTTATTTCAGTGTATACCGCATGATAAATTAGAAGATTTAGAAAGATTTATGGTGGAATTTAACAATTATTTCTCTAAAGCAGCTGTCGTAAGTATTTATATATTTATTCTGACTATCAAGATATGTAATTCATTTGTAATTTGAAAAAGTTAAAGATAACATGTAATTTGTAATTAGAAATTAAATTGAATAGTTATTTAGATAAATAAACAAGAATGGTTTGATACAAATTTGGCCTGTTGTTGAGTTTCTAATTTATTTATAGTTAGAAGAAGTTGAACCAGTAGTTGGTGAAGTGTATGCTGGACGTTATAATGGTAATTGGTATCGTATGATAGTTAAAAACATTATTGGTTCAGAGGTATATTGTTATAATTCATGCTATTATTTTGTTGTGTTTAAACAGGGAACAGAAAAAGCAGTTGGGTTATTTCGTTTTAAATAACCTGAAAAATGAAAACGTGGTTTATATGCTTATTTTGGCTGAAATTTTATATAGCTTAAATCAGACAAACTGTCCTGAAATACGCCTCTTTTAAATTAGGCTATTTTGGCCAAAAAGGGCATGGCCACCAATATTCAAATGGCCATAGCCGAGTTACCAAATGGTCAAAATCGATGAAACAGGTTTTGCCGGAAAGGTAATTCTGTAAGGATCCCAATTCCATTTCTAGCCAATAGGCTAGTGCCCTGCAGGTTTAATACCATGGTCACCGAGAAATTAATGTCTCAGGAACAATTCTACTTTATTACACTCTTGTTAGCCTGGTGGGTTCTGATGCTTTGAACAATATAAGTAACTGATGATTATCAATATAATTACACTGATTGACCATGTAAATATTTATTATTTTTAGCTTGAGATTGATGACAAACAAATGCGTTACCATCCTCTGAAATGGTCAAAATTATAATAAATACATTACTATCTTTCAAAACTTGTCCTATTGTTATTTTAAATATTTTCATTACAGTTAAGTGTGTATATGGCTGACTATGGGGAATATGCTATATTAACGGCCGACGACCTTGAACCTCTTCCTAAAAAATATTATACGCTGCCTTTTGTTGCTTTTAAAGCTAAATTATATGGTAAGTTGATATTGATAACAGGTTTTGGTCATGTCCTTGAAGCAATGAATGTACATTTTACAACATCCAGCTGTTACTATATTGGTCTGATATTCCCAAACTTACATGGACCTTATGCTCCTTTACCGCAGGCACATGAACAATAGCATTGTCCTATCAGAGGTCGTGACACAAACACACACAAATCAAGCATGGCGACCTCCACGGAAACCTTGAACATTGCAACTCGATTATCGCAGGTATGCATTTTAGCTGGAAACGTGAGACTTGGTATTCAAGGTGATATTTTCTTTCAAGGAATCTGAGAGGTCCCCAGCTGGGTCAATAGCCAATCAAAATAAGTGCCAAAATATGCAGAGTATTACGTGAAGAGCTTGGTAAGATGTACGGAATTAAAGCGAGATCAAGCCTGCTATTGATGATGGGTTTTGGGTGGCTGAGTGGTAGATCACAAGGATTGTTATCTATCATAAGTCAATGATATCAACGTTTCAGTGTATGTTAAAAGAATTAGGGTTTTCTGCATGATCTTGTGGGTTTTATCCTAGTGCTTCAAATGATCAAGATTATATCACTTCTTCTTATGTCCCACTCAGAAATATTATATCAACTCTTCCTATGTCCCACTCAGAAATATTATATCAACTCTTCCTATGGCCCACTCAGAAATAATTGATCACCTCTACCTATCTCCCACCCATCTAGACATATTATATCACCTCTTCCTATGTCTCAATCATATTGAAATATTATATCACCTCTTACTATGTCCCACTCATCTAGAAATATTATATCACCTCTTCCTATGTCTTACTCACCTGGAAATATATCACCCCTTCCTATGTCTCACTCTTCTAGAAATATTATATCACCCCTTCCTATGTCTCATCAGATAGCAATATTATATCAACCCCCTTCCTATGTCTCATCAGATAGAAATATTATATCAACCCCCTTCCTATGTCCCACTCAGATAGAATATTATATCAACCCCCTTCCTATGTCCCACTCAGATAGAAATATTACATCACTTCTTTCAATATTCATATGTCCCACATGCCTTTCCTTTGAACAAATATTGAATTATTTTATGCACTTTTCTAGATGTGTCTTGGTGTAGTGAAAAAGGTTTAAATATTTATTTTTAAAAGTTGTTTTTAAAGTTGGCAATTCAATTCATTTTTATATGCCCACATTGAAATGTGGTCGTATATTGTCGTCGCCCCCGTCCGGTGGTCTTGCGTCCACAAGAGGCTAAAGTTAATATTCAATTGACTTTAAATTTATACTCAGTGTTTAAGGTCAGCGATTTCCGATAATTACTGCCAGAGTTATGCTGTGGGCGTATGTTTCGTTGCCTGGCAACCTATCTTATGTTGTTTCACTATATTTTTGTTATGAAGTTAATTTTATGCAAAGTTTTAGATTTTGTTTTGCATGTGCATGTTTGTAGATTTAGATTTTCTTAAGAAAGGAAATGTTGACTGACTTTCATTTGCTATTTACATTGATTTAATTTGATATTCTTTCACATGTTAATATTGTTATCATTCCCATTCAGATAAAGTTATATCTTTATGTTGTTTGGTCTTTATGGTTTTGATTTTCTACATTCTAACATATTATTCAGTACAGCTGCTGTTATTTTAAAAATACTGGTAAACAGATATTGAACTCTTCTTAATTTACAGAAATCGGAAACTGAATAAAAAACAACCCAAATATAGATCATTCCTGTTGAAGCAAATGTTAAAATAGCATTTGAATAATGACTAGGTTATTTGAATAGTAAAATGAGCATTTATTGTGACCAATACTAACCATAGGTTTTGTTTCATACTTTACATTTTAATTTCATTTTAGGTCTGACCTTTCAAGGAGAAAAATGGACTGAGTCGGCAAAATATACTTTCATGCAAATGGCCCAGGGAAGGAGTTTATTCGCATATATTTGTGGCAAGGATGAAGATGGAGTTGTCTCACTAAGACTAGTTGATACATCAGACGAAAATGAAGACGTTTGTATTGATGATGTCTTGGTTTCTATGAGTCTCGCTCGACGTCAGTGATTTTAAAAACAAAATTGCAAAAAAAAAAAAGATTGACTATGCAATGTGATTCCACTAATTAATTACATTAAAATGGTATATAATTTTGACTTTCATAATATACATGCACAATTTGGATTGTTGTGCCTTTTAGAAATTCTTACAGTTTGGAGCTCAACTTTTTTGAATAACATGCTATGCCACAGTTTGAAGAAAATGGTAATGATGAATAAGTTCCATTTAGATTTTTTTTTTTTAGTAGAGGTATTGATCAAAAACCTAAATATATATATGAAAATCAATATTCATAATTATGTTGTTCCATGTACTTAATGGTGTAAATATGTATATAGATATTTGTTATGTTTTAAATACCAGTATTATAAATTGTGGGTAGTTTAGCTCAGGGTCTCATCACCAGTTCAAGGCTAACAAACCACTTTGATTTTGATAATGTTATGCAGTGTATGCAATGAACCACGTGACGTAATAATGTACATCTATCTTGGTATATGTTTGTGTATTATATAAATGGTTGGTAGTGTAATCCAGAGGCTTATCAACCTGTTCATTAAGGCTATAACAATTTGATTTTTGTTTCTTATGGATCTTTTTAAAGAGCCTCACACTCAGTTTATTTTTAAGATTTCAAACAAAAAAATTTTCAGCCAAGAATTTTTTTTTTTCAATTTTCCAAGCAACAGGAAGAAATTTTTTAATTGGTATTCCCTAGTGATCACACAAATCTTCAAAGTTGAATAGGTTTTCAAGCCTATTCAAGCTGATTTTTAGAAAAATATATTCTTGAAATCTAATCTGGATTGTTTTATCTGCTATGAAATATTTATTACTTTAAATTTTGGGTAATTAACTAATATTCAAAAATAAGTTTCTAGAAATCTTAAAATTGATTGTTATCGTGGCATTGATTTGTAAAATTAACATTCTATTCACAGACTTCCTAAATTGATATTTGGATATTCCAAGTAATATGTTGAATTCAGTTTGACTTTGTTTATCATTATCTTCATTCATTCCAAATCATCAATAACAATCTGTTTATTATATTGTGCCAAAGATTTTATTTGTTTTTCTCAGTATTGTGATGTACAGATTTTGTTATTTTTGTACCAGTTAAACATATCTGGTGTAGGCCGAGTTATTTGGTGCATCAAAGTTTCTTCGTTGAGTTGTTGTTTTTTTTTAACTTGTTGCAATACCATATATTTACTAACTGAAATATTGATATAAATCTACTAAATTCATATACTGCACCCTATTTATATATTATATAAAAAAAAGGCTGAATTAGCTTGCTTGCAAAGCCTGTCTTCTGGTGATAATATTATGATTTTTGAATAGAAGTTATTTAAATAAAAGATCACCATTGTAATCATGCATATCTTATTCTAGTTCATAATAAATGTACAATTATTATAGCCTACTATTTTACTATGGTATACACTGGTATCAAACTAACAAAAATATTGCTACTGTTCATAATGTAAATATTAACTTAAAACATGCAGAAATAGAAAGAACTATTTTTAAGGTTAGATTGTTTGAGAGTTACCTGACCTTTTTATATTGCTATGGTTACCTATAACTGTAAATAAATGTTATGTTTTATTCCATGCAAATTTGTTATATTTTTTTGTTAAAAAAATAGGCCCTTGTTAGTAGGACAGAGGTTTTGGTAAGGGACAATGTATAGTTGCTGGTATGGCACGGAAAACCAAGGTCCTGTGTACAGATTGGCAATTTGAAATGAGAGTAGGCCGTAGTGCCTCACCCCATGCCCATTAGCCTAGTAGGAGCAGAACAGTTTGATTTAACCCCCATTTCATATTTCTGAAATCCTATGAAAAGCTTCACTAGTAACCTTAGAAATTATGTTTTGCAGTATAAGTCAATGGGGGGGGGGGGGGGTAGCACGTGCGCGCTCTGCTGTATCATAAGACGTGGTTTCCATTCCCCTGTTGTACGTGACAAAGGAGTAGGGTCGCCTGTCCAACCTCGTGGGTTTTCTCCGGGTCCTCCAGTTTCCTCCCACTGCTAAAAACCCCTACGCACAAGCGAAATATTGAAATAAAATTGAACCATGTTTTATTCCCAAAATTAACTAGTGTTGACTGGACGTTAAACCACATTTCTCTCAATAGGTACAGGTTTGGTTTTTCCCCAGTAAAATGTGGGAAATTGAAGACCAGCGTTCAGAAATGCCACAGGCTGGGCAGATTCTCTTGTCTAACCATAGACTAAACATGAAATATTTGAACAGAGTTTATTTAATTGCAGACCCAGGTAACTTTATATGAAACACACACATAACTGAATATCAGTGGGATCAATTCTAACAATGTAAAGGTGATTTTCTATTGTATCCATAAGGTCTGACATTGAGTCAACTGGCATGGTTGAACGTGACAAGGAGTAGGGTTGGCTGTCCAACCTCATAGGTTTTCTCTGGGTCCTCTGGTTTCCTCCCACTGCTAAAGACCCCTATGCGCATGCAAATTATTGAAATAAAATTGAACAATGTTAGTCCCAAAATGACCTAGTTTGTGTCGAGTGGACGTTAAACCACATTTCTCTATGGTATTCATCAACTTATAAAACAAATCTTCTTTCAAGTACAAAACTTACATAAATTGGCATTTGAATATTGGTGTATGCTAACAGTAACATGGTCACAGTTAGTTGAGATATCATTTTATGTAGTTGGTGCATGTGTTATAGTCCGAAATCCCCTTTTCACTTGATTGCCATTATCTTGGGGATTGAGAGACGGTGTATGAGGAAGGACAATAACTCTTATCAATAATTTTGCACTGATTCTCGATAAGATCGTTTTAGGTTTGAAAAAAAATCACCATTTAACATTTCTCTCAAAACACATTTTTAAATATTCCAATCATTTTTTAATTTATTTTGTAGTAAACTGCACCACTATACTACACAATCTGTTCTTCACACAAATACATTTAATGTCTACATTTCTGTTTTACGGTATTGTAGTTGAAACACATCGTGTCACCAGGGGCCTTATTCACAAAATATTGAGATTACAAAATATTCATCGTCTTACAGCTAAAATTTGTATTAAGATTTAACTTTCAATCAATGTAAAGGTTAAATCCTTTAAGTATTTTAGTTTTTAAGTTTTCGCGAATCAGGCTCCTTTTTTAAGCTGCAAATTCTTTAGGTGACAATGCTGCCCTGAGTTGTTGTTCAAATGTTGTAATCAAATTTCAGCTTTTTCCTTTTCCTCTGCCTTTTCCTTTCCCACCTTTTGTTGTGGATTTTTCTGTTGGTTCCTTTTTCCCACGACCCTTAGCTGGTGGCTTTTTAGCCTAAAATAACAAAGATAAAAATAAACATAATCAGAAAGAGTTTGACTGAAACAATGGAATAGAGTTTTAAACATTTTATCAACACAAATTTTCATCTGACAACACTTAACTTATCAGCCCTGCAGGCACTACCTCTGACAAGTGGGAATGGGCATGAAGTATCTGGTACTTTTTAGACAATCAATCTGGAGAAAACCCTAGACAGATGATATTTGGAAAATTCACCCTCCAAGATAAATTGCACATGTGCAATGAATGAACTGAAAATATTCAGAAATATGGGCTGATCAACATAACCTAAGAAATTTTGATAAGGAAATGTTCTGCTCCGACTGGCTAATGAAGATGGGCACTAGGGCCTACTCTTATATCGAATTCTAACTGCCATGGGATCTTTTACGTGCACACAAATGTGTACATGGGACCTCAGTATTTCTCTTCATCCAAATGACTATATGTTGCCTCTTGCCAGACCCTCAGTCCTGAACCACTGACAAGGAGGAACCATGCCGAAAAATCTTGATGAACTTTCTCGACCAACGCAGGACCTCCAGGTTAGTGAGCCATCGTCTTACTCACTGAGTCACTGTGGCTCTCCCCTTTACTAAGGAGAAAATGTCTCAATTACCCTGTGACCCTTATCAAGTTTTCTCCATTAACCAATCAAGTCATAAATTACAGACTGTAGGGTACAAACAGAAATCACTCGATTTGTTAGATGTTCAACTGCAATAAAAATTACTGACCTTTATCATTGTATCTGTTTCTAGTCCATTATCCTCCTCCTCATCACTGATTGCTGTTCCGCCATCTTCTTCTCCTTCCATCTTTAACAGTTCCTCCCCATCCTCATCTCCAGCACCTCGTCCACGCTTCTTCTTAGGTGCGGCACCAGTGGCATATGGGGTTAGATGGCACTCCTTGTTATAGGTTCGTGTAAATGCTGCCTTTGTCTAGATAAAAGAAATATATGTAAATGGGATTATAGATGGTGCAAATGTTTGCCTTCTTCAAGAAAACAGAAATATATTGAATTAAAGCAGCAATGAGCCTATCCTCATCACCAAAAAATTCATAATTTTAATATCAGCCCTTAAATCATTGTTTATCTCTTACTTTAAACAAATGTTTTTTGGTTGCCAAGGAAACTTACCTTGGAATCAAGAGAACTTAGAGGATCAGTACTGTTTGGCCATTTTGAAACTTCGATAATATTATCAAAATCATCTTTAGTGATGTCATAGTCATCCATTAGTTTTATCACTTTTGGTACGCCTTCTCCCGCTTCACGTACTAACGGCTCTGTTAAACATTTCCGTAAGACTGGGAGATAATCCATACACATAGATCTTTTATCACCAGAGATACTAAAAATAAAATTGCATTAAGATGATAGATTATGCTCCTTGCAATTTAGCGAGAGACTAGAAGAAAGAGATTGGGTATATACTACTTCCTATAATTCGATTACACAGTGCGAAGAAATCAGAAAAAACCCACATTGTTAGAGAGGCTACCCTATTCCTTGTCATGTACATAGCACAAAATCATTGCTCACTCATATTCTGTAGCGCTATGTGGTTTTCATGGTTTTGGTTTTATAATTATGTTACCCTGAACTGCATTGAAGATCTAAATATTAATGAATGGAAACTCCATCAACTCTTTGAAATCCACTGGATCTTAAACTATATATCTCTGATTAGGATAAACAGATATATCTTAAATGTTTTCATACACACTAATTCGTTATGTTGAAATCGTCAAACTTATATTTTATCAACCTGCAAAGATTTCTAAATGCTATGCCTGATGAAATTGAAGAGATATAGTGACTTGAACTTACTTTAATCTCATATGCATGCTGAGTTCTGCTAACAATCTGTCTGTTTTATTAGTTGATGAGTTTTTACCTAACCAGCTGGGAAAAGCAACCATCTGTGGGAAACTTCCACGCATTAATTCACCAGGTATAACACTAGCATACATTGCCTAGAAACAGTAGTAAATCCAATATATTAGTCATTTTCATTAATGGATAAAAATAAAAAGTTTAAGCCACAATGTTTAGAAGCAGTCTAAAAATTAATCAAATGGTGGATCAATCCTAATTTGGAAATTATGATCATCCAAAGTTTTTAATATTTCATCTAGCAGATCTCTTCTTCTGTAAGATCATTGCCTGAACAATATTTTATTTGTATCCATAAACATTGACCTCAATATATCTAAATAATGTTGGTTTTTTTTTTTTTCATCACCTATATTACGATCTAAAGAAGATCTTTTTGTATTTGAAAGAATACAGTTATCCTGTGTGTGCTAGGCTTTACTGTAATATAATTACCTGCATGGGTAACATACTCCAATTACCTTCCCTTCGTATTAATCTATCACATAAATCACCGTCAGCTATACTGTCTGCGGTTTGAGCCAATAAACGCAGGTGTTTCTTCGTGTTCCCTCGTGCTGAGAATGGAATAACAGATGCGTAGTTCTCCTGGACGAATAATGGAGCTATACTATAATCGTTAAAAAATAAATTAGATTTATCATGTATTGTCATTCCCGCTGTTTCTTCACCACCAATAAATACTTTACGGCAGACGTCAAATGGACCCTGAAAGAGAAAATATATTTTGGTTGTGATTACTATTTTAAGAACATCTGATACCACTGCTCATTCAAGGAGTCACAAAAACTAACAAATTTCTGTCATACTTTTGTCATTAACAAGTACACAGTTGTTTTATAAATGGAAAGAACCCAGACAAAGCCAATGAGGATTGGCTGACAACAGTACACCTAGTCTCGTAGACACATGGTATCAAACACTAACATATATGACACAGGTTATGTTCTACAGTGCACAAATTAGACCACCATTCCACTCAACCTTCTAATCAAACAAGAGGTGTCATGTGTGTGGCAGGATATGTTAATAATCCAATTATGAGGGCTATCATTTCAATAATTTTAATTTTTCATATGAACAATCTCTAACAATTTGAAGTCCATAGAGCTTTATAGCATGGAATGTTTGACCGATAGACAATCAACAAAACTGATAAATCAACATTAAATGTGAGTGTATAAAAATGACTAGACCTGGATTTGAATAAAAATATAAAATAGTTCATTTAAGTAACCAAATGTGTTAAATTGTTTTGCTAAATGATTATCTGTCTCTATTTAAAATCTTAGGTCCACAGATACAGCCAATGTTGAAATATGAAAGATTTTGTGTTCACCCATTGCCAAAAATTAGAACTTTTATCATACCCCCCCCCCCAATACTTAAGTTTTCAGGAATAATTTTTATTTACCCAAATCAAAGAGAGAGAGAGAGAGAAAGAGAGAGAGAGAGAGTAATGTCCACTCACACAAACTAGGTCATTTCGGGACTAACACATGGTTCAATTTTATTTCAATAATTTGCTTGCGTGTAGGGGTCTTTAGCAGTGGGAGGAAAGCGGAGTGAACCCACGAGGTTGGACAGGCGACCCTACTCCTTGTCACGTACAACCGGGGAAGGAGAGGAATCGAAACCACGACAGTTGACTCAATGATAGACTTTATGATACAGCGCACACATGCAAACCATTCAGCCATCCAACCCCAACTCCACATCAAAGACATTTAGCTCTTTAAGAAGATCACAATTAACAACTTACTATTTTCATGTCTTTTTTAGCACTTTTAGAATCTTGTTTCGCCTGTTCGTAGGTTAAACCTTTATCTGTGGCGCTCCACATGGATAGATTGTGGATTACTTGTCGAATGTCCTGATTGGCTGCTAGAATAATCTCATTCATTGCAGGTGGCGTAATTTTGATACCTTCTTTATATGCTAGCGACATCATAGCACCCTGTGAATATAAATATTTATGAGAAATCTTATTAAATTGACTTTTTCACCATTTCAAGGAATACATATTTATAGTGATCTGACTGTACATTACAAGCTGAGTATCGTTTAGTTGTGTAGTTTCTGAATTTTAATATTTAGTATCAATTTCAAACCACTTTTGATAATTTTTCAAATCGTCAAAAAATATTAGGTTCCTACTGTTGCATAGTAATGAATTATTCTGTTAATTACTCAACACTGCCAGTAAAAGTAAATCGTTGTAAACCCAACACTTACTATCTAATCTAGACGGATCATTTTAAACTATGGGACAGTAGGAACCCAATATTTTTCTATTATTCTCAACAAAGTTGAACAATTTGTCTACAATAGTTTAATACTAAAAATTAAATACATAAACAGCACAACTACATGAAACCCAAGTTGTAGTGGTAGTTATTATTTCTTTATATTAAGATGATAAGATGAGGTTAACAGGACAGGGCCCTTATTCACGAAAACTTAAACTAAGTTACAAACGAAATTTTAAGAAATACTGCAACTTCATTGGATATATACAAATTGATTTTACTGGTCAGCCAATCGAATTGCAGTATTTCTTAAAATTTCGATTGTATCTTAGTTTAAGTTTTCGTAAATAAGGCCCTGATGTTAACCATCCTGTCAGTAATAAAATATTTTCAATCGACTAACATGGGAATTTTTTTATTTCTATGGTTAGATTTACATGTGAGCAGAAAAATTGTGCCTGAAAAGCAATGTTTCTGCCTATTCCAGCTGTCAAAGGTTCTTTTACATGCACTCCATCTTGTTTATTCAGTTGACTTTCCTGATCAACATAGTATGTACCACTTCTGAAAGTTATTTCTCCCAATTATCTCTCAATAATGTCTTTAAATATAAATTAATGATATTTTGGATGCAAACTGATTTAAGAAGTGTGGTTTTGAAATGTTTACTTGAGAACATGTTATTTCACTTGAACATCTGATACCATTTCTCATTAAAGACGTTGACATAGGTAACAAAGTAACAACAATACCATACCTTGATTTGTTCTAGTCGTGGTTTATAAAATCGTAAATCAAAACAATAATTAGACAGGGTTCTCATCTTGGTACTATTTCTA